TGCCTCCATTGGTCAGTGCATGTAAACATACCCATATTGTAGATAAGAAAACTAAGCCCAAGAGAAAATTCTGTAACATTTGTAAAGAAAACAATTAACTTCACTGAGTTACCTTTAGAGGCAAAGGGATATGTGTGTTCATTGTGATGCTTTCATGGGCATGCAAATATCCAGACTCGTCAAATTAGATACATTAAGTATGTATGTTTTGGTGTGTCAATTACAAATAAATAAGCTATTTGAGAAAGCATTGCTGAGTTGTATTCAGAAGAACAAAGACAAATCCCTCCAATGAGACACAAATTAAACAAGCACAGGTCTTTTCTTTCACTTTTCTTCAAGTTGTGTGTCTTGGTTTAGTATTCTTGGGATTGTCCATAAAGAGAATAGAGTTTTCCTACCAACTGTCAACACTTGGAATACCTTAAGGCATTTATCAATGGATGATCCTTTCAGCTTACTCATGTTGATGCCAATGAATGATCAATGCAAATACAGTGATGGCCTCTTCTCATTGACATCTAAAAAGTTTGTTGTTTTTCACAGCATCCAGGCAATAATTAACATCCTAGATCTTCTACAGAGAATCTTATTTTTATCATAATTCATACCCTTATGAAGTAAATGATAAAATACTAAGTCCAACTAATCTTAGAAATTTTACTAGTATTTCCCATTTTCATTCAATGATCTTACTTCTCTCTGCAGCCTAAAGTGTCTACACTGTTCATTCAGTAAGTAAGAACCAAGTGTCTTCCATTAACTACTAGAGTAAACAGTAGAAAATAGGAAAGCTCATACAGTTTGTATTACAGTGGTAGAAGCAATAGACTAACACACATGTACACTTAAAATGCCAGGTGCATAAAGCAAAATAAAGCTAGCTAAGGAGAAAGTCCAGAAAGTTCACGATTTACCTTGTGTGAATCACAATTTACATTTTCCCTTTTCAAGTGTTCAATGGACTTGTTATTTGGATGTGTTGATATAACCAACTGGCAGGTGCCTAAGGACTTAGCCTATTCTCCATAGCTTTTCCAGGCCATTGGAAGTGAAGTTAGGACATGAACCAGATCACATATGTAATGCTGGCATTGCATGGGTATTTTTACGCGCTATACCATAAGGGTGGTTCCTCCTCTTAGCCTTTGGTAATTTCTCAGTCTCTCATCTTTTTTCTGTTAAGCATTAAAATAACATATTAAATATGCTAAGTTGCTGTAAAGAGAACACCCCTCATTACATTGACAAACATTACCGTTATCAGAGTCATGCAGGATAGGGCTGAAAAGGTAAATAATTCTCAGGGAAGAAATGACTGCTTAAACACTAATTCATTGTCCTACATAAGTTCTCAGATACAATGCAAATAAATTAAGCCAAAATGGATGCTTGCCTCATCTCAAAGAATGTTACAGAAAGCCATGGCACTTTGCAGGACACAATCACAATCACAAGAGGCAGCACAAGGCTTTTCTGCTTCACTTATTTTTCTCATCACAGCATTCTAGAAAATAGATGGATGCTGGAAAGGAACACAGCAAAGATACCAGAGAGTAACATAGCCAAAGGAGGAATCAACAATCAAAATTACTCCTCAGTTTTGCTGAAATCGTAATATAGAAAGAAAATTTAAATCTTCAAATTTTACATTAAATCCAGTATATGGTTTGATACTTCTAATTACCAAGGATGGCCTTCTGAAAGTTTGCTGGAATAGTATGAGTAAATATAATATCAGCACTAATAAACTCAGGTTTAACAAAGCTCAATTTTGGTGAAAATTGGAAATCTTACTGCTTATGTCTTCTATAATATTAATCTACTAAAACCTACACTATTCTATCCTCATGGTGGAGATTATCCTACAAAGACAAAACCTCAGAGTGTGGAACTCTAATCCTGTTAATAACCTCACAGAAAACTGAGGAGGTAGGGGGGCTATATCCAGAATGCACTGTATCACATTCTGAAAAAGGCAAAATTCTGGACCTAATAAAAAGACAAGAGGTTACCAGGTGTTAGGAAAGAAGGAATGACAATTGGGAGAACAAAGGCAACTGTTAGGACCAAGACAGTTAGGATATTTCAAAGCTTATTGCATGTGGTCTCTTTCCCAAAACTTACGGAAGCATGGACTCTGGGAGGCACTGATGCAGATTCATGGACTGTAACAAGTGTACCACTCTGAGTAACAGGTGCCTAGTGTGGTAGGTAAGATGCCTGAGTCCCACAATAGAGTTATCTTTTTTGGCTTCCAGCTCTAGCCCCTGACTCTAGATTCCTGCTAATGCAGAACCTGGGAGACAGCATTGACAGATCAAGTCATTGGGCTTCTGCCACCCCTGTGGGAGATTTGGATTGAGTTTTAGACTATTCTGGGGTAGGAGATAATTAGTCAGGTTGTATTTAAGGGGGGAAAGGGATACATAATATTTCTCTGTCCTTTATACCCAGTTTTGCTATGAACCTAAATTACTCTAAATGATAGATCCTTCTGAAAATAATGATGTCTGCCTGATGCATAGACATGTGCTTTGCATTATTTCCCACTTTTCTCCACCTTCCAAATGTAGCTCTCAGAATATTACAAAGAGAGCAGGACCCAGCGTGGTAGTCTAGCGCCTGAAGTCCTTGCCTTGCACACACTGGGATCCCACAAGGGCACTGATTCTAATCCCAACATCACTGTATCCCATCCAGCTCCCTGCTTGTGGCCTGGGAAAGCAATCAAGGATGGTCCAAAGCCTTGGGACCCTGCACCTGTGTGGGAGACCTTGAAGAGGTCCCTGGCTTTGGATTGGCTTCAGATAGGCACAGCTCTGGCTGATGTGGCTGCTTGGGAAGTGAATTATCAGACAGAAGATCTTTCTCTCTATCTCCTCTTCCTCTCTGTATATCTGAGTTTGCAATAGAAATAAATAAATCTTTTAAAAAAGAAGAAGAAGAAGAAATAGAGCAAAGACGAGAGAGCATAGACCAATAAAATATCAGAAAAAGCAGGCACCCTAGGGCATCTTAATCCAGTCTCTACTTTATCTCTTTCGTGTCTTCTGTCATGTCAGCCTTTTGTTTGGTCTCTTTTATCCCCATTACACAGCCTTTTACCCATGAATAGAAAAGAAAAACAGGGCTGGCATTGCGGCATTGTCAGATAAGCTTCTGTCTGCAGTGCCAACCTCTCATATGGATACTATCTGTATGGGTACTGATCCGCATCCTGGTTGCTCCATTTTTTATTTAACTGGCTGTTAACATGCCTGGGAAAGCAGAAGAAGCTGGCCAAGTGTTTGGGCCCCCACACCCATGTGCAAAACTCTGATGAAACTTATAATTACTGGTTTCGGCCTGGCTCAGCCCTGGCAATTGTGGTCATTTAGAGAATACAGCAGGAAATAGAAGTTCTCTCTCTCTCTTGCTTGCTCTCTCTTGCTCTCGCTCTTGCTCTCTCCTCTCCCTGTGATTCAACCTTTCCAGTAATTTTTAAAAATCTTTTTTAAAAACAAAAAGAAGAAAAAACAGGTTTTTTTCCCCACAATTTTAATATTCACTGTTCCAGCTACTATTCTCAAAACTTGATGGTGTAACACAATTGCTTATTTTGGTCATAAATTCTGTGGGTGAGTAAGTCAAACAAGCAAGTGAAAGATAAAATGCTTCTATTCACTGGTATGGCAGGGACCTGAGCTGAGAAGACTCCAAGACTGGCTTGACTCCACACACGTGGTCTGGAATTATTTAGAAGTATTTTCTCTCACATGGCCAGTTGTAGACTGGCTATCAGGACTTCAGTCTATCATGTGAAATGGCTTTCGTGGATCCAAATTGATCACTCCTTTTTGTAGCATGCTAACTGTTCCCCGAGAGAGCATCCAAAAAAATCTAGAGGAAAATGCAAGGCATATTTACAATCTAGCTTGGAAATTACAATGTAATTTACTGTGATCAAAGCTACCATTATAAAGGTCTCCAGGGCAAAAAGGACATGGGGGCCTGGCGTGAAGGCTCAGTGGCTAAATCCTCACCTTCCACACACCAGGATCCCATATTGGTGCCAGTTCACATCCCAGATGCTGTATTCCCCAATGCTCCATTCTTGTGGCCTGGGAAAGCAGTAGAAGATGAGCCAAAGCCTTGTTACCTGCATGGGAGACATAGAAGAAGCTCCTGGCTTCAGACTGTCTCATCTCCAGCCATTGAAGCCAGTTGGGGAGTGAACCTATGGACAAAAGATCTTTCTCTCTGTCTCTGTTTCTCTCTGTAAAAATCTGCCTTTCCAACAAAAATAAATAAATCTTGGAAAAAAGAAGAAGAAATAAATCTCTAAAGAAAGACATAGATCCTTGGGATCTGGGTGGAATGGATGGGAGAAGTATAAAGGAACATGCAAAATATGAGATTTTATTGAGTCATTTTGGAAACTACACCCATACCCACTAATCACTGTTGTATCTTATCATAGCTTAACTATCTGGATGAGTATTCCACTTAGACATTGGCTGCATGTCTCTACCTCAGATTGTCTGCACCTGATTGTAAAATACATGATGGAGGGGACAGAAATATTGAATTCATTTACATGAGCTGTCCCATGGCACCTTGTTCTTGACTTTGATGATCTTTAATGCTACTAGCAGGGCTGCAATTGCTGATGGATATACATGATTGCAGTGATCATTATTTTTATGTTGTGACAATCAAAATGTGCTATGGAGAATCCTCCATACTAATCAGAAAGGCATACAGCATCTTCAATGTGCAAGACATTTTATTACTCCAACTTGATCTTGGTTATTTGATAAGGGTACATAATTTCTTCTCTGAAGTAGAAAGATTCTTGCAATACACTAACTGAATCTCGAAGTTGAGTGGAAAGAAAATCACTTCCTGAAAGAACTATCTTTTCTTTTGCTTCCTAGTCACTTTAAGTTTAATAGATTATTGGAAGTTTTATATTAGTAACTCATGTGGCCCTTAACCATGAATATGTCTCTTTCCAGTTGATTTCATAGGTGGCTTTGACTCCTATGGCTATCAAGGACCTCAGAAAACATCTCATTTACAACTACAACCTATGTACATGTAAGTCCTGGACTGTGGAGGTATTCTGGGAAACAGAAAGAAAATCAAGTAAATGCATTGTGGCATGAAATAATTGGCATGCAATTCTCCTTCAGTTGAAAAAAATTCAGTATTTTTGCTTTCACTAATATTACTTTGAATGGGATAATTATAACATTTTCTCTGTGATTTTCTATTTGAAATATCAAAACTATCGCTTCTAAGGTTGCCTTTAGTCTTACATAAGCATCACCTGCATGACTCAAAAGCCTATAACATAATTTCTTTGAAATATCACAAAAGTTGTCTTTTTAGAAAATGATAGAACGTTGTAGAAAATGATAGAATAATGAATATAACTATATGTAAATCATGCTTTCTAGGATAACCAAGATAGACCCAGTTCACACTGGTTGTTTTGGTATAATTATTACCACCCCTCTTTATTACTCTGGAAGGGATTCTCATGTAGATGATAAATGATAGGTTCAATATAGTCACAGTGTTCAAAAATTTAAAAGAACTGAACAATTCTTTTTCTATAATTTCTATGATATAATGTGAAAATGAATCTTTATCATTTTGAAACTTATCAAACCCTTAACTCTAGCACTCAAGAGAGCAGACATACAATCAAAGCCTGATTTTTATATCTGTGTTTAGGCAAATTCCCTTGGATAACAACTGATAACAAATTCTATATATCAGCATCAAGTGGTATGCTGAATTGCACGCGAAGATCAAAATAGAAAGTAAGATTCCAATTCATTTTAAAATGTGAACTCTCTTTGAAGATATATGTTTGTTGTCATTGTCTTCCACCATTGAATCATGTTGCCTCTTAATATCTTTAGTGTGCAAGGTGACAAACAAATTTTCAGAGTATTTCTACACTGAACAGATTAAAGTTCCCTTTAGACACCTCTTTCAAGCTTCTCTTTAAAAATAGATTATCTGTGAATCATGCCCGCCTTTTCGTTGTGTCCCTTATAGTTCTGTGGAAGCCTTGCTGAAAAGTCTTTATGAACTCAAAAAAATTAGCCAATAATACATATCATTCAAAGCATCGCCTCCATAGCATGCCATGCGCCCTCTTCACATCTCCACAACTCTGCCCTAGTTCATGCATTCATGACCTATTATAATATTATATATTTATGTGTTACAATGAGCCATGTATGTGTGTGTCTGTGTGTCTGTGTGTATATATATAATATACATACATACATACACTGTGTGTACTGATCAAATCATAGTAATCAACATTTGGCCTTCCTCTATTTGCTCATAAAATATGTAATATGTTATTATGAAATATACTCACCCCAATATGCTGTATGACATTAGGCATTCATCCTTTTGGTCTGACTCTTATTTGGTACCCATTATGACCTAAATTTCCCATATCTATCTACCTCCTACCTAACCCCAACCACAAACACTAAAAACGCCATCTAAATCCAATCTCTTATTTCAAACCTTCTAGCCTATCCTGACCTGGCTGCCACAAAGGTCTCCCTAACATACTACAGTGATTTTGCTTCCCTAACTAAAATTTATCAATGACTCCCTATTACTGAATAAAGTCCAAATTCCTTACCACAGGCTATACATAGAGCTACAATATTCTCATAGAACTATGATATTGTCATAGAACCACAATATTCTCTTTGAACTACAATATTGTGTTGAAAGATTAGCTCTTCTCTTCAATCCTTACTTACTTTTGGGTTCCTTATGGAAAGAAGTTTCTGGGAAACATTAAGAAAATATAATGATGAATCAAACTAGCCTATCCTCCTGAGGTTTCCAATCTATTGAGAGCAGAAATTGATGTCTCTTCTTAGCCATTTTTTCTGGCCAGCCTAGAGGTTTTATTTTTTCCAAACATAAGAATATAAGAATCAAGAAATAATTGTTATCAGGGACTTTTCCTGCCAGCAGGCCCTCAAGACCACCGAAGGGTTGAGGTGATGGTGTTGTTCAGCCTCAAGAACCTCTGGAGACCATCTGATATAGCATGTCTATTTATTATTGCAAAAAAAATTCAAATACGTGTACACACCGTCTTCAGGAAGTTCTTAGAAAGTACATATTACCAAACTCTGCATGAATTTCAAAATTTTTTTTAGCAAAATAAATGTATCTTTTTTAAAGTGAGATTTATTTGTTTTGTGTGTTTGGAAAACAAAGAGCGTGAGAGAAAATGAGATCTTCCATTTGCTCATTCACTCCCCAAAATGACTGCAATAGCTGGATGGGGGCCAAGGCTAAATTAGCAACTAGGAACTCCATCTGGGTCTCCCGCGTGAGTGGAAGAGCCTGACTTGGGCCATCTTCTGCTCCTCTCCGGAGTGCGTTAACAGGGAGCTGAGATAAAGCAGCAGTGACTCAATCTATCACTGAAATGAGAGGCTGGCATCAGAGGCGGAAAGGCAACCCCCTGTGCTACAGCAGCAGCCTCTCACTGATATCTTCACTCCATTTTCCATGAACCTTTTATGTAACCTCGTGTAGTTGCCCATGCTCTTCTCTTGACACCAGACATAATCTTTTTTTTCCAAATTTTATTATTTGAAACTCCACTGTCCTTAAAATTCTCTTATAAAATTTGCTGCCTTTATAAAATATGTCTTAATCTTTTCTCCTCCAATATTTTTTCTGTTGGCATGTGCTATAGTTGTGTGCTATTTATATGGTACTTTCTCTATCCTTCCAGCGAGATTTGGTGACTTCATAAAAAAATAAAATTATAAGTCCTTTAAATTCTTTATAATTCTTCTCAATATTTTATTGCAACCCTTTGCAAAGTGTTCTAGTTTAAAAAGGCAAATCAATCAGGAGTAGTGATTAAAAAAAAAGGACCTATAAACAAAGCCTGCCTGATATTAAATTTCTTTTTACCTTTTCTTATACCTTTATGTGAATAACCATTTAATTTCACCAAGCCTAAGTTTTCTCAGCCTTAAATTGAGATCATAGCTTATATATTTTTATAACTGGTCTAAAATTACATGAAATAGAACATGTGAAGCATATAAACATAGGGCATATCACACAGTAAGTGCTTAATAAATATAATTGATGACTGCTAAAAGTAATGCACATGTTAACGAACAGTACCTAAAAAGGGAAGGCACGTATCATGTCAGTAAAACAACATGTGACCTATGTCACTCTCAAACGGTGTTTCAAAAATTTTAAACAATTAGCAGAAAAATGCATTTAGTGGGGAAGAAAACTATACTTGAACTTCAGAACTTTTTTCACAAAAAAAAATCTCTCATTTCCATTTTCTACAAACTTTTTGGAACTCCTTCCTGTATTAGCACCTCAAATAACTTGTAACAAATTATTTGTGTTCATAAGTAAATCAAGATATCTATAAACCTTGTGATTTTTATTTTTGAGCTAGCATGTAGATTTTATAATGCTGGTCACAATGAATAATAAATCAACATAGCCAAATTATAATAGATATGGATCAGCTACAGTAGTAATGTAATACAAGAATGCTATTATACATAATCACCTGTTATTCAAATTTAGCATTTATAATTGTAATGTGCTTGAACTAGGGACTCTACAAAGATATGTATGCTTGAGCAGAATTAAATTTCTTGAGGATAAAATTTATGATTTCATTACACAGAATATTTCAAATGCCAACTGCAAACAATAAAACTGAGATTGTTAATTTACAGATGAGAAAAAATGAACAGAAAAAGGGAAAAACAAAGATTATGTTAGTGTTGGGGCTGACTCCTTAGTTTACTATTTTTTCCAAATATCCAGGTATTCTTGGAAATTGATCTAGCGTTTTTGCATCTGATTTTAATTCACTGGCCAGGCTGCCACACTGCCATGCCATCGCATTCTTCCCATTATGCTAGGTCCCCTTTTGTCCCTTGAGTTTTTACAAGACACAGTGTGGAATGAACGACCCTTTCAGTGGTGTGACCCTCCAAACCCAGCATCCAAGAGCCACTGTCTGGTCAAATCCTGTGGGAAACCCAAACTGGTTCATCTTCAAACCTCAGCCCCTGCTGCGTGACAGAGACCTGAGCTTCTCCTACGTCTCTGACTAGGGAACAGGCCCTTCCAACAACCTGCCACAAACGTGGCTCCTAGACTAAGAGGAGCTTGCCCTCATGACTCAGTCCAGGCACTCACAGTATTCTGTAGTAACAGCATATAAAAGCCTCTTGCTTTGAGGGAGGCCAACACTGAAAATCAGCATGTCAGTTTAGGTGTGAGATTTCCATTAAATCCAGCAACTCTCCAGGGTCCAAGATCTGGACAATGAAAAATCACTGCCATAAGTGATGAGTCAAGGTCATATTTCAGTGCCTACAAGCAATGCATAGTGTTCCCTTTGGCAAGTTCAGTGAATAATCCTAGCTTATAATTCTTCAGATTATCAGTAACTCATCTAAAGAAGAAGGGTTTTTTTCCTTGTTTGTTTTTCCCCTTAAATGTTGGTAAAGCTCTTTGAAATAACGTTTAAGCTTTAAAACTGCCGCACAAAATAATCCCACGTTGATAGGAACCATCTTGATGACCACCGACTGTATGAAAAGCAAGTAGAGATCTGATGGGCCTCCTCCCCAGTAAGAATATTTTATAGTGTATTTGATAACACTTGAAACACCGCATTCTTCCTGACACTCTGGTTGTACAGCTGTGCATATTCATTCCATGTGTCCCCGGAAATAGATTTGAAGTTACCATAAATATCCTGTAACTGAGTGGTTGCACTCAGAGAAAAGAAAAGGACGAAAGCTTCTGTCTGTTTAAAACCCAGTGTGGAGGGGAGGTGGAGTGGTGGAGGAGGGGGTGTTGCTTTTGTGCTTGGAGAGGTGAGAAACAGTTTGGATGACAGGCATCCATTCCTTTCCCCTTCATTTAAAGCTCCCTGTTTCTCTCTGTGTGTCTTTACCACAGGTCAAAATAAAACAGACAACTTCAGTATGTCAGCCCATTGGACTTTTCAAAGAACTTGTTTCGCAGTGACCTGCATTTTATGAAGAGCAAGAAGTAACCAAATTTAACTAAATGTGCATAGTAATACACAAACACACACAAAGGTTCTGCCTACACTGACACGCATGCACATGTACACACACACACACACACACACACACACACACACTCACACACACACTGCAATTTCAGTTGATCTCTTTCTAAGAGAAAAAAGTAAATAATGCAGGGACATGCAAATCCTGGATTTCCTGAAAACAGGCTCCTTTCTCCCAGAAAAAAAAAATCATAAGGAAATGTGTCGGTGCCCTCTGCTGGCCGTTACTAACCTGTCCGCAACCTGGCCTGTGGGCTTCTGTGAGCTGTGAAGCCATTCAGGGCACATTTTCGTTTAAGAGCCCCGTTTTCTGCACTCCATACATCTTGATTGCACCACGGCTACTTAGGCAATGTAATTGCAAAAAAAAAAAAAAAAAGAGAGAAAGAAAATTAAAAAGAAAATGCCATGATGACCTTGTAACAGAAGTCCAGATGGCAGATTGTTTGCCCTAAAGGCTGTACGTACATACTTGCCTTAACCCTCCTACGCTGTGTGCCCAACAATCTCAGTGCAGACCTCCATCCCCAAGTCACTGCTGTTAAGCCCGAATGCGTTCAAGTGTGTGTGTTTCACATTAAGGAACAGGACTGAATCCTCAGCAGCTCCAGCGTCTGTAGAAGAAAACTGCCGGTTGTCAGCGGAGTAAAGCATGGAACCAGCATGGTGGCCAAACGACACCAAGCAACAAGAACACCACCAAGGTTTATACTTCATCAAGAAGGTCTTCTGATGGGGCAGGAGTGGGACAAAGGGAAATGTATGAATCTACTAAGCTCATTAATCTACTGGAAGCTGTAACGGCGTAACTCGCTGATATTCTTTATTGCACTCTAGGTGCTTTTGTAAGTATCTAAAATGTCTTTTACTAACAAACAGCTGTGGATTTCTGGCAGCAGAGGCCGACTGACTACGTATTAGCTATGTTTACTCTTTTATATCTAATTCCAGCTGAAGACCCTAAGTAGGTGACCTTTTTTTTCTAACTTCAGCGTATGAGATTATTTTTGGGGTGGGGGGGTGCAATAGTTACCTTGGTGAAATATTTGAGATTTCTTTGTGGCATTTGGGGGATCTGTTGTGTGTTAGAGTGTATTTCAATCCTCCTGTATTATTGTGGCAGAAAAACTGTGCTGTTAATGTAGTTGGCAACAAGATGCCTTTGGAAACTTAATAGTGTTTATGGAATATTCTGAACTTCTAGGAAATTTTGTCCTATACTTTCAAGCATTACTTGGTTTTCATTCGTGGAAAACATTATGAGTGCAGGCTTATCAGTAACTCAGTTGACTCACATGTTTTTTTCTTACATCCACCTGAGACAGTAAAAATCATTTTTTTAAAAACAAATGCACTAACAATAAGTACAGTGGAATTCAGACTGGGAAAATTATAAGCTGGCATAGCGCTATTTTTTTTTTCATTGGTTTTTATGAAGTTTTAGTCATTGGGTTAAACTACTTTGAACCTTAGCCCATCCAGGTTTACATAAGCCAGTCCCATTACTGTGTTTGCATGGATGTCTGTAATATGCACACAAATGCATTTGAAAATGATAAAAGAATAATAAGTGGCTATTGGAATTTAAACTACAAAAAAATTCCAGCACTTGTGCTTGGATTTTCTCAATGGCTTGTACACGTTTGTCCATATATACATGTATAAATACATAATTGCAAACTTGTCAGTGAAACCTCATATGATGCTTTTATCGTGCCATGCATGTTTAATGTATAAGTAAACTACTTACCAATGTATTGTCCTTTGATTCTTAAAATATAAATACTAGAATTTCTTCTAATGTGACTAATAATGTAAGTATTACAATGAGGTTTCACTGTACATCCCTGCTGTGATCGCCTTATAGGACATGTATATGGATACAGATAATAAGCCCTCATAGTCTTCTTTTAAGTTGAAGCCAATTTACCACCAAATCACCTCTATCATCACCACCAAAATTTTCAAAAAAAACAAAAACAAAAACAAAACCAACAGTTGTTGACTACTAAAAAGTAATCAGTGGACAAACCTTTTTTGGGAGCAGTAAGCACAGTGGTGTGATTCCATCTGGGAAAACATCTAAGTTGTACAGCTGTATCCTCCTCAAAAATCTGGTGAAGAATGCTATTTTTCTAGGCTGAGCTTTTGTTATAAACCTAATATTCAGAAGGCGAGAGTTTCAATCCTGATGTGTCTCTTTGTTTTGCATTTGTTAATTCTGAATGTATTTTTAACAGAGTGATTTTTTTGACTTACTAGTGTAATTTGCATTTTAAAAATAAATAGCAAAACAATTAAGTTTCTGAGCCCTCCCTGAAAACCCCTGCTGCTTTTCAGTGTGTGTTTGATGATGTCACTGACTGGGAAGTCCTATCAAGCTTCCAGGAGATGCCTACATTCCATGCAACTCAGGGACCTCTCAGTACTCAAAGGACTTAGACAGGATAAGGCCGGCCCCCTTCTCGCTCAGTCATCGGCTGTGTCCTCAGGGCATTTTCACATGACTGCCTGCAACAGACCTGCCATCACTTGGAGACCATATTTACCCTTCAGAGTGCACCTCAAACTAACTTCTATCAGGGGTGTTAGGACACTAGATTAAACTCCTTTGGTTAAATGATAGAACCCTTCATTTCTCATAGAAATTTTTATTTTAAATAAAATGATTAAAAATAACTACGTATCTCCTCCGCCCTTGGGAAAATCATCTTCTTCTCTGCTGCTATTAGAATATTGATGTTCAACTCAACAGAGGATTATACTGAGATGTGGTAGGGTAGGGTAAGCAGAGACAAAGCCCCTGGCATTTGTAAGATGCAACAGTAATTTTAGGTGAAGGTCATGAGATGCGCTCAGAGGAAAGAGCAGCAGGCAGGTCTGTGTTACTTGTGGGAATCTTCTGCTCACTACACACATACACCAGCTCCACAAATCAAATTACAGGAGTTGACTGAAAGCAAGAAAGCCTTTGAGGCCTCATTCCAAGAAGCTCAAGATCAACCTGCAGTACCTGACTTCTGAGCCGTGGTGGAGAGCCTTGTAACTGTCAAGCCTGCTTTATTTCTGTTTGTGGTGTGAAACACTGATTTTGCGCTGTTCTACAAAATAGATGGCATGACTGTCAGGATGCGGCTTTGTTCTGTGAAGTTGAAGGCACACAACATCTCAGCCACATGAAAGAAGAGAATTCACAGATCAACTCTTAACCTATGAATTCTGTCCTGCAGATACGGACAGATACTTCCGTGGTATGTGTGTCTCTGTGTGTGCTATAGTGTTGCTTATCCAGGTTCTTATCTCCAATTCAAGAAAGAAATTGAGGTTGAGATTCAGATTCAGAGGTCACCAGGTAAACAAATGTAAAGCATGCAAAGCAAATAAGGAATGCTCTAGAAGCAATTCAGGCATCATCCAGAGAGGGGCTGCCTGCATGGATACGGCAGTGTAGCCAGTGGTGTCTGGGTGATGTTTCATTGAATATCCTAAGGGTAAAGTTTGGGGCAAGGCTTGAGTGTTGCACGTTTCCTTGAGCTTTCTTGGAAATCCCAAAAATATCATGGTGTCTGGTGCATGATGGGAGTAGGAGTGTTATCAATTATGCTAATTTTGTGATAGAATGATAATGAACTAATGGTCTTTTTCTAGAAAAAGTCAGCAACTATGTTGGAGACTTTTGGCCCTCAGAGGTTTCAAAAAGCAGTTTCACAGAAGCTTCTGTTTTCCAGTACACAAAAGGGGAGTAAAGGATTGGACAGTGCAGGTAGGGCTGCAGCAAGGCAGGGATGCAGAAAGGGAGTTGATGACCTCAACTTCATGATAAATTGTAAAATGATTCTTAATTCTTGGGTTTCAGTTTAATTATAGCGTCAAAGTTAAGTGGATTTTATTATTATATTATAGTTCATTGTATGATCTATTATAGTAAGAACCGATAACCTCCAGCAGCCATAGATAAGCGTGTATGTATGATATGCTCTTACCAGTTATGTTCAGTTTCAGGTTTAGCAACTTTATGTAATTTCTTCAGTGGCACACAGTGAATAGCTGAGATGAACAACAACTAGGATAAACAGTGCCATCTCAAGTAGTTGCTTTGCATGTCAAGAAAAATCTATCTTTGGATATTTTATCCATCTGACAAAATTTCAGCTCGCAATGTCTAAGTTTATACTCAGGAAGCTTTGATATCAGGATCTTTGCATTGTAAAAACAAAAAGAAATCCAATTATTTTCATCATGTGTGAAAGATCACCCTATGATCTTTTTATTTTATTACATCTTCAGTCCATTCAGTTCCAAGAAAAGAACAAACTCTGTGATTGATACATTATGGCCAGTATAAAGCATAACTCACATCTAGAAACACTGACCCCAATAACAGTGAAAGCACAGTCTCCAAGATATTCGTGTATTTATGCCTTTATGTCAGCAATAGCATTCAGGAGCCACACTTGCCATTGAAATCTGCACAAGTATTATGAGTTATGACCTGCCAGTGACACAAAAAGAACAAAAGCGAGTTCTTACCAGAAGGAATAAAGCCAAAGGTTTGGCCAAAATTACAGTATAGTGGGTAAAGCCACATGAGTGCTGGTTAGTCTTTCCTGGAATCTCGTCTTTCAGTTGAGCTTCTTGCTAATGGTATGAGAAGAACAATGGAAGATGCAGCAAATATTTGGACCACTGCCACCCACCTGGACGTTATGGATAAAACTCTTGCTCCTAGCTTCAACCTGGGAAACCTGGCAATTTTGAGCATCTGGGATGTGTACCAGCGAAAGGAAAGATTCTCTCCTTCTCTCTCTCTCTCTCTAGCTCTTTCAATAAAATTAATCTTTAAAAACAAGACTAATATTTATGTATTCTCTAGAACTAGAAGAAGTTCAATTTCAAAATGTCCTTGAACATTTTTAAACATGGGAGCAGGCCTCTATTCTAGCAGTTACAATACTCACATTCTACATTGGAGTAACTTTGGGTTCCATCATTCCCAGTTCTGACACCTGTGTCCAACTTTCTGATAATGCAATTCCTGGTAGGCAGCTGACTGGGAGTGAAATAGTAGGTTAAAGATCTTGCACTCTTCTCTCTCTCATAAGTGAATCTTTGATACTTTGGCATTTTTAAATGAAGAAGCAAATGAGATTTTTTTTCTTTTATCAGAGAGAAACAGAGACAGAGCTCGGTTGCTGCTTCACTTCCCACGTGTCACAATGGCTAGTGCTAGGCTGGAACTGAAGCTAGAAGTCAAACTCAGTCCAGATCACACCTGTGGGTGGCATGAACACAGTCACCTGAGCGATCACCACTGTCTCCAAGAGTCTGCATTAGCGGGAAGCTGGAGTTGGGAGCCAAACC